TTTTATTCTTCTTCTCCTTCTTCTTCCCTTACTTCCCCCCATATCCCGACTTCCCCCCGCCCTATCCCAACTTCCCCCCTCGAGCAGGACCCCCCACCTAGACAACTACCATCCCCCACCCCCAGCAGGCCCTTAGAGGCCCGGCCCCTATTTTTCGTAGGGGCCGGACCTCCGTCGGACACCGGACCACTGGTCCGGTGGTCCGGTCGGACGACCCGGACGTCCGATAAAACAACCTAGTCCGTCGGACACCGGACCACCGGTCCGGTGGTCCGGTCGGACGACCCGGACGTCCGATAAAACAACCTAGTATCCCGGACGTCCGATAAAACAACCTAGTATATACTAGGTTGTTTTATCGGACGTCCGGGTCGTCCGACCGGACCACCGGACCGGTGGTCCGGTGTCCGACGGACTAGGTTGTTTTATCGGACGTCCGGGTCGTCCGACCGGACCACCGGACCGGTGGTCCGGTGTCCGACGGAGGTCCGGCCCCTACGGAAAATAGGGGCCGGGCCTCTAAGGGCCTGCTGGGGGTGGGGGATGGTAGTTGTCTATCTAAGGGCCTGTTGGGGGTGGGGGATGGTAGTTGTCTAGGTGGGGGGTCCTGCTCGAGGGGTCGGGATAGGGCGGGGGGAAGTCGGGATAGCGGGAGGGGGGAAGACGGGATAGGGGCGAAAGTAAGGGGGGAGGAGGAGGAAGAAGAAGAAGAAGAAGAAGAAGAAGAAGAAGAAGAAGGAGATCAATCAATCAATCAATCAATCGAAACGGGATAGGGGCGAAAGTAAGGGAGGAGGAGGAGGAAGAAGAAGAAGAAGAAGAAGAAGAAGAAGAAGAAGAAAAAGAAGAAGAAGAAGAAGAAGAAGAAGAAGAAGAAGAAAAAGATCAATCAATCAATCAATCAATTGAAATAATCGATTGATTGATTGATTGATTACGTAGGGTGGTGAGGGGGAAAGTCGGGGTAGGGGGAGTGGGCAACTCGGGATAGGGTGGGGTAGAGTCGGGATACGGGGAGGAGGGAAGTCGGGATAGGGATGGGGAAAGTCGGGATAGAGGGAGGGGGGAAGTCGGGATAG